CAGTATCCTGAGGCTCTGAGCCCCATTTATTTTCCTCACAGACGGAAACAAAAGTCCGAAATTATACGATTTAAAATAAAAGCAATAATTGTGGCTTGATATTGAGTAAGAACATGTTTTTATGAACCACACAGCTTCCGGTCTTCCACGACCCGACCGGAGAAAAAGAAGTGCTGCAGGCACGAAACACATTACCAGTAGATATACATTGCTTTTAAAATCGTGCTGTGCAACACGAAAAAAAGGGGAAAATCGTGTTGGTGAACACGAATCAATAGATTAAAAATTGTGTTGGTGAACACGAAATGCCATGAGACTGGGTTGGACATACAGCACTTTGTCTTTCTAGGCTACATTACGTTATATAATTCTTTTGCAGCAGCAGTGGCATGAAGTCAACAGCATGAAATACTTGTAGAGACAAAACGTAAGGGTGCATGACAGCTGTTATTGTGAATTCATTAAATAAGTATTTTTTCTGACAACTTTCAACAATCTCATTTTAACTCAAACCCCACAAACACAGTTTCAGTCAGAAACCCAAAACCCATATAAATAGTATTTTCATTATAACAATACCATTATTTATAATAGATTCAATCTATATAGCGAATTTCTACGTAGGCCTACTCTAAGACAGTGGTTCTCAACTGGTCAGGCCTCGGGACCCACCTTTTTCCTTAGTCAATAGATCGCGACCCAACATTTTGAACCACTCAAATCTATTCAACAAAAAATCGTGCTGTAATATATATACGCTTTTCAGCATACAATATGAATTAAAGTGAAGTACAGTGCATATATCCCTTATATCCCTTCACAGAACTAAAGTATGCTTTAAAAAAGGTTTAATGAAATGATGGAATCATAGCTGAACTGTGTAACATAAAAAGGCACACATGCTGAAAACCCAACCGCAGAGGGGGGATTCTCCCCCAGGAGATTTTTTGAAATACTAACATATAAACTACGCATTCTGGTAGCCTACACTCTGAGAAGAAAATAAATAAATCTATTACTACCCGACATATTAATAATATTTTATGCCATTGTTTTGTGTTTCACTTTGTTCTGACAGCTGAACTTGCTGCTCCTCACAGAGAGAAGAGCAAAGAGGAGATAGTCTGTGTGAATTACTTTAAATTGTGGGTAAGGGTAGACAGCCCCCATTGTTCTGTGACCTGTCAATCATCAAACCGGGGGTCATATTTCATTATGTGTTCATTTTGATCTGAAGTTGTACACATGGATGTATAAAGAATAGTTAAACAAAGTTATTCTCCGTGGGGACTTCCGGCAACAATCTTGATTCTGATTGGCCAGAAGACTCGAAAAAATATCAGCAAAGATGTTACAGAAGTTTTCAAAACCGTTTATGGTCTCCGTTACTTCCAGTCCAACGCCGACTGCATGCACAGCGTTAGAAAATCGGGCCTTCAAAATAAAAGTTTTTTCCACAAAAAAAAAAAAAAATTATATATATTTTTTCTTCCCTCACACATCTGCGACTCACTTTTGGGTCGCGACCCACCAGTTGAGAACCACTGCTCTAAGACACTTTAAGGAGCTCTTATATGTTCATTTTCAGGTTCATATGTGTATCTTGTGCTTAACTTTGGGATTTTTTGCATTTGTAGATTATTTACATAAACCTCTATAACACTCTACAGGAAAGGGAAAAGCCCCAAAAGCATAGCAGGGCCTCTTTGAGATGTATTATTGTCAATTATAAGTAATTTTTGGTTATCTTTATCCCCTTTACTACTCAACCTGCTGCGCTGACACTGAAAAACAAACATTACAACTCTTCACAGACTGACCTAATGAGAAATATTTACAGTAGTGCATAAGCATAAAATGTTAAACTTATCATTGACGTGATGTGATGTGTAATTAATTACAGCTTTCCACACACAGTGATCTTTGCAACAGGAAGCAGATGTTCACTCTCCCTCTGTCTGCCTCAGAAAAACACACAAAAAGAAAAAACTTTTCTAAACCCAAAGCCAAAAGTGACCTCAACTCAAAACACAGAAGTATAAATCTCAAAACAGAAAACAAACACACAACAAGTTTAAAGACCGTCACTGGAGTCCAAGTTAAATATTAGCTATCAGGTTTTTAATAAATCAGCCTTCTTTATTTTTTAGGCTCAACTGTAAACAGATGTCAATCAAATCAGCCGGGACTTATTTTAATGTATCAGAAGGAAGTGTTGAAGCCTCATTCCCAAATAAAAACAACAAGATTTCTAGACCGTGACCATCGTCTGTCGGACATAAAATACAGATGTTTTTGTACTTCTGTGCTTTGACTTTTATAATGTTGTGGAGATTGTTTTGAGCAATAACTCAGTTTAGACCTCGCCGAAGGCTCTGATAGAATAAGTCAAATAAAACATTTGGTTCCTCCTGTAAGGGAAAAACAATGATACTGCTGTATTGGAATAGAGATGATCGGTGGAAGAAATACTGTCTGATAATGCTTTTAAGTGTGTAAGCTGCCGACTTGAAGGAAGTCTCTGTGTGTGTGTTTTGTTCAAATTGTTGGGTGTCTCTCTGCCAGCATCCTTTAGCGATTTGACCGCAGTTGTAACCACAGTTGTTTTTTACACAAGTTTAAACATATAAAGGGAGTGGCAGTGTTTAATAAAGGTGTTTACGTGGTTAGCATGTAGGTATTTTTTTTCAGGAGCCGTTGTTTAGCCAAGGTAACTCCTTACTAACACTCAGACTCAACAATCAAGTATCATCATTGTGTGAGAGAAAGCTTTGCAGGCCATTAACATGAAAATAAACCTATGAAAAAAGAGCCACTAAGCAGCAACTTAAACGGCCTGATTAAAAAAATGACTGCTGAAAAATACCCAAAACATTTCTGAACATTAAAGCATGAAAACTCTGGTTTCAGACAGAGGGTGAAAAGAGGTGCTGCAGCACAGGCAGTGTGAGACAAATAAAGATATGTTTGAACATTAAAGGTCCCTTATTTGTTATCCATCAATATATTATAAGTCTCAGATATATACAAAACATGTCTCTGAAGTGTTTGGCTCCAAACACCAAACAGATCATGGCAGCATTACCCACAATCCCCTCTGTTTCAGCCCTGTTTCAAAAGTGCTGATTCTCTGTCTGTTACTTTAGATGAAAATATGGAGCCCCTCCCCACGCCCCTCTGAGAGATAACAAGAACACAATGGTGCTCTAGGAGGAGATTCAGGTGATAAGGGGGGGGGGGCGGGGTTACCTTGGTTGCCGATTGGCTAATGGTTACACAAGCCAACAAATCGTTATGACATCATAAAGTGGCCAAAATCTGATCAGCTCATTTTCAGACAGGTTTTTATAGAAATGGATCAGGACAAAAAGAGAGAGAATCTTTGTTCCTGAAACTTTCAGAATCTCTTTCCACAGAGGGGACACATGTTGATGTAGAAGAGACATGAAGAAGAGGGGACACATGTTGATGTAGAAGAGACATGGAGAAGAGGGGACACATGTTGATGTAGAAGAGACGTGAAGAAGAGGGGACACATGTTGATGTAGAAGAGACATGAAGAAGAGGGGACACATGTTGATGTAGAAGAGACATGAAGAAGAGGGGACACATGTTGATGTAGAAGAGACATGAAGAAGAGGGGACACATGTTGATGTAGAAGAGACATGAAGAAGAGGGGACACATGTTGATGTAGAAGAGACATGAAGAAGAGGGGACACGGGTTGATGTAGAAGAGACATGAAGAAGAGGGGACACGTGTTGATGTAGAAGAGACATGAAGAAGAGGGGACACATGTTGATGTAGAAGAGACGTGAAGAAGAGGGGACACATGTTGATGTAGAAGAGACATGAAGAAGAGGGGACACATGTTGATGTAGAAGAGACATGAAGAAGAGGGGACACATGTTGATGTAGAAGAGACATGAAGAAGAGGGGGACACATGTTGATGTAGAAGAGACATGGAGAAGTGGATTTTGCATAATAGGTGACCTTTAAAGCATGTAAACACGTCACAGTAGACACTAAATACAAATATGAACCTGAAAAGGAGAATAGCAGGGCCCCTTTAAATGAAGAGGCTCTAATTGTCAAATATATTTAATTTGATCGAGATGAGCTGCTGCTGTCAGCCGATCACACAACTTATGATTTAAAATAAAAGAGACAAGTTCATACAGAAATACACACAGTGATGAAGCAGCTGTGAGGGTTTTCTCTGAGCTAAATGTTAGCATAGCAACACACTGATGATGAGCAGATGTTTAACGTGTTCACTCTTTATTCTGTCCATCCACCATCATCTTCATCATACAGCTGAGGGCTGAGGCTGATGGGAAACTCATTAGTTCTGGGTTTATGATGAACCGGAGGAAGGGGAAGTATTTTACTGATATTTTGAGAACATGCTGTACTGAAAACCCCTTTGTGTCATACGGTCTCGCAGACAGCTTTAATGTACATTTCATAGTATTTTCTATATTCCTTTAACATGATTATTATTCACATGAACTGTAATCTATCTTCTACATAATTTCACTTGGTGTGAAATGCTGTTTTAATGCATTTTAGCATGTAAAGTGTCTTTGAGTACCATCTATGAATTGAATGTATTGTTCATAGTATAAGTATTATTTTGTCTCTGTTTTTTACCTGCTTTTTTCCTCACTTACAAAAGAAAGGTCATTTGGTTTAAAGTCATAAGCTAAGTCTCATTTTGTACTCTATATAAAAAACGTTTTGGTGTTTTGAACAAAGTACAAAATGAATCAATAGATAAAAGCAAAAACTGAATAAAAAGAAAAGTCATCAGATTATTACACGTGAGTTTTTACACAATATTTCATAGAAACTCTTCAATATTTGTTGAAATATTTCAGACTGGAACAAAGTGTTGGACCAATACTCCGGGAACCTCATGGCTGGAACTTAAAGAATAGAATAGTAAAGAGAAAATATGAGGAAATAAGAGTTTGTTTCACAGTAAAAACACAGAATGTACTCTTTGTGTCTGATCACTTTTCATAACATCTTTATTGAATTTGTGTCTCAGTTTTAAACATATGTACAGATACTTTAATAGTTTTTTTTTTAGTTCAGTAAAAATACAAATACAGAACACAACATTTTTCAAAATCATCGTTTCACTCCCAGCGAGTGCCCAGGTTTCTGCCCGGGCTTTACCCCCCACCCCGTCAGATGAAGGTGATGAAGATGAGGATACTGAGAGCCATGACTGTACTGCATTAATGGACCCCCACCGGAGAGAGAGGAGGGAGCAGGGGGGAGGAACATGTTGAATGTGCAGAGAAATATCCTGTATGTACACTGATCGATGAAGTTCCATAAAACGTTAAATAAAATAACAAGGGTGACTGCTGTTGTTGTGGAAGTGGATTAATTACATATAAACTAACGGCCCGTCCAGACTACAGCTTCAAAAGTGGTTTCCAACGCTTCTGCCCATTCACTTTGAATGGGGTGACGTCACTTTTTGCCGAACTGCATTGTGGGAAGCAGAGCGCAGCTTTCCTGACGTTGCAGGCTGCAAAAGTTGAGCAATGTTCAACTTTTGAAGCTTCTGAAGCTTTCGGCGGAAGCGTCAGCCAATCAAATCATATGCCAGTACAAGCTCTAGCCAATCAAACCGCTGCTTGTGTGTCAGGGGCGGGAGATTCATGTGATTGGTTGTTGGTCGAGCTTCAGACACGCCCAGCTCCAAGCTTTTTTTGAAGCTGTAGTGTGGACGGGCCGTAAGTGTAACATTGTCTTGAACGTTGGCAAGAAGTTTGGTTAAAGTTGCTTGGCCTTAAATCCTAAAAGCATTTTAATATTGAGACATTCTCCTAAAATATCTGTAACGTCTTCCTCGACCTGCCTGTCAAATCAGGACAGAGATGGTTGATGATTATGTTACTTGTTGATATTTTGTATTATATTTGCTGTTTTAAATCTATATCATCCAAACACATGAAAAGACTAAAACCAACCGCTTTGTTAATCTTCTTGAAGCATTTAGAGGCAAAGGGAAATAGGAAAATGCTGGCTATTAATCAATCACTCAAATTAAACCTTTCCATCTTTGTTGTAACCATATTGTTTTCATTCACACAATTATACTTTATTGACAGCTACCTTTGTCAGGAGGGGAGTTTAGAAAGCTGAAAGTAAATCAGCAGTTTGAGAACCTTTAGTCATGTGACTCTGCGGTAAACAACATTTAAAATCGTTTTCTTTTTTTCTTTGATGCGTCAACTTCGTTTTTACTCCATCACAGTTCTGCATCTATCTACACTACATCATGTATTAAAAAAAACTCAAAGCAAAGGAAAAGAAAGAGCACCGTATTGGCCAAGGCGACACACATTTGAAAATAAGGCTTGAAAAGAATCAGACGCACAATAACACACACACAAAATCATCCTGGTTTAGTGCAATTCCTACTCTTCGGATCAAACTTCCCAAAACTCTTCTTTAGTAGTCGTATTCCCATTACTTTCTTTCTCTGTTTCTAAACCAGTCAGTTGATACGTAGAGTTTGGACACATTGCAGATTCACGTCACACAACCGTATTAATGAGCTCACACACACACACACACACACACACACACACACACACACACACACACACACACACACACACACACACACACACACACACACACACACACACACACACACACACACACACACACACACACACACACACACACACACACACACACACACACACACACACACACACTCTTTGTAAAAACAAACATGGCAAGTGGATCAGAAAAAAAAAACGTTAATTCGAAAAACAAAATTTGAGCATTTTGTAGATGGAGGATGAAGATTTGGGAGGTTTGACTGAAATGTTGACCTTCAAAATGAACATGTTTCAACATTGGATGATTTAAGCTGAATACTGAGTCACTCAACATCTCCATCTCCTCCTCTCTGCTGCCATTTCTCTTCCTCCTGGTAGCATTTCTTGTGGTTCAGATATAATTGTTGCCATGGTTATAGCAGCTGCTGCTGTCACATTGTAAGAAATATAGCCTTCATTAAAACATCATATTTCTTATCTTGAAAAATAAGTCTTGTGCAAAATATTTCCACTTGAGTCGCAGATTATAGAGGTTGAAATGGTCTTTCTTTAATTTTGAAATTGCAACATTTTCCATATATATTATATGAACAGTTATACGATTGTTTGGTTTTCTGCAGCAGCACTTTAGGTTTTCAGTCAGTGTTGTTTCTAGGGCTGTCCCGAATACCATTTTTCGGGCTCCGGATATGCGGTAGTAATCAGCAGCGAATATTCGGTCCCTGCGCTTCAACACATGTATTTCGGTGTATTCACGGCATTCATTTTGTTATTCTACAGTATTGTTGTGTTATAGTTATTTGTTAATGTAACCCAATTTGTGTTCTTTGAAATTGAAAAGGATATCGCATTGTGTTTGTTACTTTCGTTGCAGTTGTATATGTCTTAAGTGTAATTTGGCTTGGATTCCTATTTTGTATGGACATGCTTTTATTTTGAAGGAGAGTTAGCGCTGTTGACAGGAAATTATTGTTGCTATGGAAACAACGTGACGGAAATTAACGGAGAAAAGTCATATCTACATATAAAGACGGAGAAAGTAAACTATAAAGTTTATGGTTAAGTGTTAGCACCCCCCGAAGAGCTCTTACGTTGATATTGGAGTTTTCAATAAATAAAAAAAACAAAAACGAATATCCGAATAACGAAATTGAAACCCGAATAGTACTCCAACGAACGAATAATCAGATATTCGGGTACAGCCCTAGTTGTTTCTTAGCATGAAATTCACCTGTGTGTTTTTAAAGAGGCGTATAACTGCTTTATGCACACATTGAAAATCAGCATTCAACAGATCTGTCACTCTCTTCCAGAGTTGTTTTGGTTGTTCTCGAATGTAATATTTAGTAACAGACTGTATTATCTATTATCTGAGCAAAGCAGTAAATCCCTCGCACAGTTTCAGACGAAACAGAGAGAGTTATGTGTCGGGAGAGATAAGCGAGCCAGATGTGAAGATTTTAACTTTTTTTTGAAGATATGATAATGGGGACGAAAAAAGGTGACTTGAATCTGTACAGTAGTTATTCGTCATGATTGTTTACTGAACATTAAACCCAAAGGGGACATGCTTGCAGCTTTATAATGTACATTTAACAGGTGATATATATTTCTCAAAAGCTCAAACTGTGATTTAGAGATTATCCAAAAACTTGGACATTGTTAAATGAATGTTTTAAAATGAGCCTTACCTCTTTTCTGGAAAACGTCAGAAACAAATCTTCAAGAGTTTATATGTTTTGTTTTAGTTAAGGAGAATGAAGGTTACAATGGACAAGAGAAGAGAAGGATTGAGAAACGAAGAGACAATTAAAGCAGGAATGTAAAAAATAAGTGGTTGAGAACGGTATAGTTCATACAATTTACGTGATATACGGAGCGACTGTTGCATGCTGGGAGATCAGCAGGGAGCCTATATTCAGCTCTTTCAGTGCTACACTTCTATTTCCCCTCTTCTTCATAGTCTTCCCATACAAAGTGCACGAATCAATGATTTACAGCAGAGGTTATCTTACCCACACACACACACAGACACTCAAAAATGTGTTATGAGAAGGCGAGAAACAAGAGAACAAATTGAGGCGATAAATGGACAGGAACTATGAATCAGATGATCAGAGAAAGGTGGCGGAAAATGAAGAAATGTAGCAGCACTCGGTGACGTTTATATCTGGGAGAGGAACTGGAAAGATGTCGAGGTGTGTAGAGAGAAGATGGAGAAGCTGCTGCTGTCCAGGTGGAGTTACTGTTCATGTACAATGGTCCACTGTTCTGAAAAAAGGAGGGTTAGAGGAGTAAAAGGAGGAAGAGGAGGAGGAGGAGGAGGAGACACAACCCGCCCTCGCACTGATGATGTGACGAGCTGCGAATAGTTCCATGTCAAAGTCCATCAGATTAAGTTTAAACAGGAAGTGGAGTAAGAGGAGGGTTCAGGGAGAAGCGAAGGGCTTTCATTCAACCCTGTGTCCCCATGAGTCCAAACTAAAAAACACATCAACAGACCCTGTAAAGTCCTCAAGTCAGTCAGTCTGGAAGAAAAACAAACACCCACTTCCATCAGTACAGTGTCAAACTGACTGTAATCCTTCACAGAAAACCCATAATGCCTCAGCTTGAGTCTGTATGGGAGTAGAGTTTGTTCACTACAAATAATAACAAAAAAACAAACAAATCGAGCCTTAATTATAGCTCGGTCGTTCAGAGTCAGTTCAAGCCAGTCGCGAGGCTGAGCAGCAAAAAACGCCGTCTTTCAGAGAAGACAGAGAGAGTCAAAGAGTAAAACATAGAAGAAGAGAGAGGGTCTCTACGTCCCCTCGGGAGGCTCTCCATCATTCCTCTGGTTGATGTCTGCAGTCCAGAAGCAGTAGAGAGTCTGTGGAGCCGAATGTAACTTTGTCCAGTGTTGGTGGGTTGTTTGTCGTTCAGACAGGTGGCGCCCCCTGCTGCTGTGGAGGAGAACAGCACTTCCTGTTTACTGCTGAGACGGCTCGCTGCCAGGCAGGGTGATGTTCCCCAGGTGGAGCACAGGCAGCGGGTGAGCCTCCGTGTTGAAAACCCAACTGTCAAAGGGCATCAGGTCGTCGCTGGAGAACAGCAGGTACAGATACCTGAGGGGGGGGGGGGGGGGGGTTAGGAAGGGGAGGAAGTAGAAGAAAAAGGAAATTAAATCACTGCAGATTTGTTAAAGGTCCCCTATTATACTGTTTCTCATCAATATATAACAGGTCTCAGATATATACAAAACATGTCTCTGAAGTGTTTGGCTCCAAACACCAAACAGATCATTGCAGCATTACCCATAACCCCCTCTGTTTCAGCCCTGTTTCAAAAGTGCTGATTCTCTGTCTGTTACTTTAGATGAAAATAAGGAGCCCCTCCCCACGCCCCTCTGAGAGATATCTGGTTAGAAAGAACACAATGGTGCTCTAGGAGGAGATTCAGGTGATAAGGTGGGGGGGGGTCTACCTTGGTTGCTGATTGGCTAATGGTTACACAAGCCAAAACATCGTTATGACATCATAAAGTGGCCAGAATCTGATCAGCTCATTTTCAGACAGGTTTTATAGAAATGGATCAGGACAAAAAGAGAGAATCTTTGTTCCTGAAACTTTCAGAGTCTCTTTCCACAGAGGGGACACATGGATTTTGCATAATATGTGACCTTTAAAGTAGAGCAAACAATGTTGGTTTAAGTACAAGCAGCACATAATCCTGACTTTGTAGCTAAATATGTATTAATATGAATGGTGTATTTAGTTATTGCTGTTAAAGCTCGGGTAGTTTTAATCTGAAATTGCTTCTATATTCTACTTCTATTGGTTTACTTTATTTCTTTAATATTTATTTCCTTTTTCAGACATGTGGTTTGAAAGCAGTTTGTGTCCGATTGGTCACACTGCTCTATCTGGGTATTTCCCTTTAAAAATGTTTTTTTAATTAAAGCTGAAGGGACTTTTAGAAGGTGTTGGACGGTACACAACTTTAACTGAGGGAATATGTACATTTGATGGGGTATTTTCACTCAAAACAAAACTTTTTACCAAGTAGATTTGTGTGCGACAAGAATTTCAGCTACAGATTTATAGTGTTACAATTTAGTGTAAAAGGTTGGGTGGTGGCTCTTGATCTCATTAAGATCGCAGTTGTAGTCCATGGATCCTCTTTTACACTGTGTGACATGTTGTTCGTCGCCATATGGACCTAGAAGCTACACAAAACGTTAATATATCCGCATCATAATCTTTACATTTGCATCTAATTTGAATGCCCATACAGTACCATTCTTATGTCTGGACTATTGTGACAAAAGGCGGGATTTGATGTTTCTGCAAATTGAAATATTTCGCAGTTATATTCATATACTGTAGATATGAGGTTTCTTATCCTTAATTTGAATTATTTAGGAAACCTGATTAACATTCAAAGTCATCTGACAAACACACACAGTGCTGAAGTAATTAAGTTTCACTCGACAGGTGTCTGGATGCTACATCTTTGTGCAGATCAGTGTGGCTGGCAGCCAATCAGGAGGAGCCTGCTGCTGTAGAGCTTTGATGTGATTGGCCGGCAGCCAGTGGACAAAGACTGAGAGCAGAAAGACTCCAAAGGCTGCAGAACATCGAAGCATCCAAATGTCATCATCTCAGGGAGTTAGCAGCCAGTGTGGCGGGCGACCTTTAACGACTTATACACAGAAGACATATTCTCCTGGTGTTTGGTGATTTTTGTTTCAGAGTTTAGGTTTAAAGGGCTGATTAGTAGCAAACGGAGACTTACGGAGCAGCCCAGTTTGCTCTGTTTTATGATCATCTTTGCCACACAAATTGATTGACAGTAACAACCAGTGGTGGAAGAAGTACTCATGGTAGCAATACCAAAGTGAACAAATACTCTGTGACAAGTACAAGTCTTGCATTCAAAATCGTTTTAAGTAAAAGTTCAAAAGTATTGGCATCAAAATATACTTATAGTAACAAAAGTAAAAGTATGCTTTATGGCCCATTTCAGAATAACATATATGCAACTACAGGATTATAATCAATGATGCATTATTGTGTTCATCTCAGCTGGAAAGATGGAGGTAATTACAATGAGCTATCCTGCTGCTGGCTTTCTTTACCAATTATTAGATGTTTATTTATTAGTTGATTATATTTAGTTTTAGCTAATACTCCTAATCTGTAAAGTAACTAGTAACAGCTGATGTCTGTCCTGAATGAACCAACACTCAAAGATCCACCAGTAGGGGGAGGCAGAGCCACATTGAAGGGTCTGCTTTTAGAGCTCCTCTCCATCAGGGATGCTGATAATGATGCATCAGAGTAGCCATTCGTCAGCACTTAAAACAACAAAGCAATACATGGAATAGAAATAACAGCAGATACCAGTGGGTTAACTCCTGTTCGAGTAATGCTGATATGCAACAATTGTATTGACCATAACATAATGCTTTTACTAGCCCTGTGGTAAGCACATATTCAGCCTTTTTTAAATATATTGTAGGAACAGCAGTAATGGAATAAGAAGGAGCAGCCACATTGAGATTAGACAAAACTAAAACCTCTAACTTTGAGGTAAACACAAATTCTTAACTGATATCGGTTTTAAGAGTGCGGATGTCAACAAGACACTTCACCCTAAAGTGCTCCTGTGGCTGTTGTCCACAGTATTCAGTCTATTACATGTCTAATATATGTAATATGTAATGTACAGGGTTCATACACTTTTTCACCACCTTTACCTAATTTTCCATGACCAAAGAAATAACTCTTTCTCAGCGTACCACTGAAAATGGTTTATTTTAACATGGAACAGGTCTGCATATGAAACATGTTGTGCCTATCTAAAACAAATCAAATAGTAGGCTTACTAGCTCCGACAGGCTGAAGCCACTCAAATCTCTCACCAGCAAAACACCTCGTCAGTTAAACGCCATTTTACGTTCCATTACGATACAGTATTGATTATCATTATAGTATTACTATTTTGGCAATTAGATAAAATATAAATTATATTTGATGCAACTTTAGTTACATTTCCATGACTTTTCCAAACATTTGGGAAAAATATTGTTTTCCAGAACTTTTCCAGGACCTGGAATTGGCATTTTGAATTTCCATGACTTTTCCAGGTTTTTAATGACCGTAAGAACCCTGCATGTAAAGCACTTTGAGCACTAGGAAAAGCGCAAACATAAATACTATGGATTATTATTATATCTTTGCTAAAACATCTTAAATATATTTGGCTGTGCTGTAAAGAGATGCATCGACTGCTCTTCTGTTGAGTTTCTGATAAAGCAGCTGCTAAACGAGTGGTGGGTTAGTTTTAAAACGCACTCTGGTATCATCAGTTATCATTATCACTTTAAAACCTTTCAAATAAACCGGGGTTTTGGGTCTGTCTTTAAGTAAAACATATTTTTTGTTGAACATCTATGAGTGACATGCTGCTGCTTTTATCTTTGCAAAACAATTCAGCCTATTAGATTTTTTATTTAAATAAAGAAAATTAGCAAGTAATGAAGCAATCACTTATTTAGCTGACAGGCCCTTTCAGTCAGCACTAAATCATTGCATTCTCCACCAAACAAAAGTGATTAATTAATTATAACAAGTACAGATGATTCATAGATCAGGTTAATGAATCATTAAGTGTTATTAAGAGTTTGCTTTACTCTTACTTTAGCGTCTCGGCCAGGAAGAAGCTCTGCTGCACGTCGTCGTAGGTCGGGTTGGAGGAGTAGACGTCCTTCACCCCGGAGAAACCTCCACTCACCCTGCAGTACTTATCAATGGCCTGGAGGAGACAAGGAGGGAGGGAAGGAGGGAAGAGGAGATGAAGAAGGAAAGGGGAGGAAGAAGGAAGATAGGAATAAAGGCAACACATATGGAGAGAAAGGGAATGAAGAAAGAGGAAGAAGAAGAATAGTGATGTAGAAATAAACAGAAATACATAAAAGGAGAGAAATGAAGGTAAAACAAATGATTACATGGATAAAGACAAATAAGGAGAAGTGAAAGGAAAGGGGGAGAGACGGTGTGGAAGGGAGGGGGTAAAGAGAGAATGTTTAATAAGCTTACTAATGCATGCTTTAATCAATTTCTTTGCTTGTGACAGATTAGAGCGAGTCCTGGGGAGCCATACAGGAAACAGCTGGAGGAAAAGAAGATTATCACAACCCTGCATTTACATGTGAAATGTTGAGAATTGCTTCTCAACTTATTCTTCCGATTATGGACTATTGTGATGTTGTCTACCAAAATGCACATACATCAGATCTTGCTCCACTCAACATAGCCTACAACAGACTATGCAGATTTGTTCTTGGTTGTCCTTTTCGTACACATCACTGCACAATGTATAACCAACTTAAATGGCCTTCTTTAAATGTAAGAAGACACACGCATTGGCTTCAGCTGATATCTAAATGCATGTATCTTAACTATCCCCCTTATTTAAAGCAGTATTTTGTACCCTACTCACCAATTCATCAAGTTAGACATTCTGTTCAGATTTATTTCTCTGTCCCCTCTGCAAAGAAATGTATTGGCAGAAGAGCGTTCATGTTCAAAGCCCCAACTGACTGGAATACTTTACCTGCTGCTATTAGATCTCTTGCATCATTGGGTTTATTTAAACATGCGTTATCATCTCACCTTCAACTGGTCTGTACTGGTTATAACTGATATTGATGAAACTGATTTGATCGACTGTCTCAAATTGTAATGATTGTATGCATTGCTTGAATTTCACTTCACAGACTATGTGGTTTGTCTTGTGTGTCATGTTTTGCATTTTGTCTTTTTGTTTATGTATGTCTGTAAGTTGTTGCTGTTGTCGGGACCCCCTTGAAAACGAGATGGTGCATCTCAAGGGGTTTATCCCAATCAATAACAATGTCTATATACATGTTACTCTATAAAAGGTCATTTTTTCAATCTTCAACACGAATCATGAAGTAATGCTGCATCTGAGTGAGTAGAAGTTTAATTTGGGGTCATTTCACAATCTCCTTTTATTACGGTCCATACTGTATTTACCCGAGCTATGTTTATATTTGTACCTTCTTATGTTAAAAGGAATATTTATCCTATTTAATTTAATGCTTGTTTATTGGACATTTTTGCTTTAACTTATTAAAGATTATTTAATATTTGTATACATTTATTTTATTAAATTGTTCTCCAATTTATGTTAATATTTGTTAATATTTTTCATTTGATCTTTTATTGGACATTTATTACTTGAACTTGTTAAAATATATTTTGTATCCTATTCTATTTAACTTTTTATTTTTTAGACATTTAACTTTTTATTTTCTTGTTTCTTAAAGGTCACCTATTATGCAAAATCCTCTTCTTCATGTCTCTTCCACATCAACATGTGTCCCCTCTTCTTCATGTCTCTTCTACATCAACATGTGTCCCCTCTTCTTCATGTCTCTTCTACATCAACATGTGTCCCCTCTTCTTCATGTCTCTTCCACATCAACATGTTCCCCTCTTCTTCATGTCTCTTCCACATCAAACATGTGTCCCCTCTTCTTCATGTCCTCTTCTACATCAACATGTGTCCCCTCTTCTTCATGTCTCTTCTACATCAACATGTGTCCCCTCTTCTTCATGTCTCTTCCACATCAACATGTGTCCCCTCTTCTTCATGTCTCTTCCACATCAACATGTGTCCCCTCTTCTTCATGTCTCTTCCACATCAACATGTGTCCCCTCTTCTTCATGTCTCTTCTACATCAACATGTGTCCCCATCTTGCTTCATGTCTCTTCCACATCAACATGTGGTCCCCACTTCTTCATGTCTCTTCACATCAAACATGTGTCCCTCTTCTTCATGTCTCTTCTACATCAACATGTGGTCCCCTCTTCTTCATGTCTCTTCTACATCAACATGTGTCCCCTCTTCCTTCAATGTCTCTTCTAATCAACATGTGTCCCCTCTTTCTTATGTCTCTTCTACATCAACATGTGTCCCCCTCTTCTTTCATGTCTCTTCCACATCAACATGTGTCCCCTCTCTTCATGTCTCCTTCTACATCAACATGTGTCCCCTCTCTTCATGTCTCTTCTACATCGCCTCTTCATGTCTCTTCTACATCAACATGTGTCCCCTCTTCTTCATGTCTCTTCTACATCAACATGTGTCCCCTCTTCTTTCATGTCTCTTCTTACATCAACATGTTGTCCCCTCTTCTTCATGTCTCTTCTACATCAACATGTGTCCCCTCTTCTTCATGTCTCTTCTACATCAACAGTGTCCCCTCTTCCTCTTCTTCATGTCTCTTCTACTATCATACATGGTGTCCCTCCTTCTCATGTCTCTTTCCACATCAAACATGTGTCCCCTCCTTCTTCATGTCTCTTCTACATCAACATGTGTCCCTCTCTTCATGTCTCTTCTACATCAACATGTGTCCCCTCTTCTTCATGTCTCTTCTACATCAACATGTGTCCCCTCTTCTTCATGTCTCTTCTACATCAACATGTGTCCCCTCTTCTTCATGTCTCTTCTACATCAACATGTGTCCCCTCTTTCTTCATGGCTCTTCGTCCTTCTACATCAACATGTGTCCCCTCTTCTTCATGTCTCTTCCTACATCAACATGTGTCCCCCTCTTCTTCATGTCTCTTCTACATCAACATGTGTCCCCCTCTTCTTCAGGTCTCTTCTACATCAACATGTGTCCCCTCTTCTTCATGTCTCTTCTACATCAACATGTGTCCCCCTCTTCTTCATGTCTCTTCTACATCAACATGTGTCCCCTCTTCTTCATGTCTCTTCTACATCAACATGTGTCCCCTCTTCTTCATGTCTCTTCTACATCAACATGTGGTCCCCTCTTCTTCATGTCTCTTCTACATCAACATGTGTCCCCTCTTCTTCATGTCTCTTCTACATCAACATGTGTCCCCTCTTCTTCGTCTCTTCTAATAACATGTGTCCCCTCTTCTACATCAACATGTGTCCCCTCTTCTTCATGTCTCTTCTACATCAACATGTGTCCCCTCTTCTTGCATGTCTCTTCTACATCAACCATGTGTCCCCTCTTCTTCATGTCTCTTCTACATCAACATGTGTCCCCTCTTTTCATGTCTCTTCTACATCAACATGGTGTCCCCTCTCTCATGTCTCTTCACATCAAATTTGTCCCCTCTTCTTCATGTCTATTCTACATCAACATGTGTCCCCTCTTCTTCATGTCTCTTCTACATCAACATGTGTCCCCTCTTCTTCATGTCTCTTCTACATCAACATGTGTCCCCTCTTCTTCATGTCTCTTCTACATCAACATGTGTCCCCTCTTCTTCATGTCTCTTCTACATCAACATGTGTCCCCTCTTCTTCATGTCTCTTCTACATCAACATGTGTCCCCTCTTCTTCATGTCTCTTCTACATCAACATGTGTCCCCTCTTCTTCATGTCTCTTCTACATCAACATGTGTCCCCTCTTCTTCATGTCTCTTCTACATCAACATGTGTCCCCTCTTCTTCATGTCTCTTCTACATCAACACGTGTCCCCTCTTCTTCATGTCTCTTCTACATCAACATGTGTCTCCTCTTCTTCATGTCTCTTCTACATCAACATGTGTCCCCTCTTCTTCATGTCTCTTCTACATCAACATGTGTCCCCTCTTCTTCATGTCTCTTCTATATCAACATGTGTCCCCTCTTCTTCATGTCTCTTCTACATCAACATGTGTCCCCTCTGTGGAAAGAGACTCTGAAAGTTTCAGGAACAAATATTCTCTCTCTTTTTGATCCATTTCTATAAAAACCTGTCTGAAAATGAGCTGATCAGATTTTGGCCACTTTATGATGTCATTACGATGTTTTGTCTTGTGTAACCATTAGCCAATCAGGAACCAAGGTAACCCCCCCCCCCCCCCCTTATCACCTGAATCTCCTCCTAGAGCACCATTGAGTTCTTTGTAACCAAATGTCTCTCAGAGGGGCGTGGGGAGGGGCTCCTTATTTTCATCTAAAGTAACAGACAGAGAATCAGCACTTTGGAAACAGGGCTGAAACAGAGGGGATTATGGGTAATGCTGCAATGATCTGTTTGGTGTTTCATCCAATCAGAGACAGGTTCTGTATATATCTGAGACCTGTAATATATTGATGTATAATAGGGGACCTTTAAGTTTTTAATAAATACTTTTTCCCTATTTTACTTTACCTGTAAATGGACATTTTCCTTGAATCTCTTTTGTCTACATAAATATCTTAATTTCTTTTAATTGTATTTTTTATTATTGCACAATTTTATATTAAATTCTTAGGTTTATACACATATATTATTTATTTAGGATCTGTCATGAAACTCAATTTAAACCAGGGTAAACTAACAAATATTTTGATTCTGAAAGAGTTACACCATATTCATATCTACCCTATTATATACATATACACTTACTCCATAATGTCATATTTACGTTTCTGCATATCACGTTCATATCTCACTATTTATTCTTTTACAAATGTCAATATACATTTTACCGCTGCTCAGGTTAGATCAGGTGAGTCAAACTCAAGGACCGGGGGCCAAATCCGGCCCGCCACTTCATTTGATGTGGCCCACAAGAGCTTGCAAATAATATAATACGTTTATTGTAAGGTCACATGCCGCTTTACAGGAGCACGTTGCCCATAAACTACATGTCCCACAATGCATCTCATTTTGTGAGATGCGCACTGAAGAGACTTGCAATTACTTACTAGACTTATGCTTTCAGGCGTAATTATGAAGTTATTACCCTATCCGATAATAATCCAATGCAGAA